GCTGCTGCAAAAGGCAGAGACATGACAGCGAGTTACACAGAATCCACACCTCAAACAAATGACATTCAGCGCAAAACTATAACAGCTATCTAAAAAATACGGCGTTTTGACGAGACCCAAGACTCTACCGAACGCGTGGGATGTGTGTTTTATGTCTGTCCGGTAATAAATACGGCTCCTATGGCCGTCGACAAACGTGTACCTTCTGGATTTTTGCGAGAAATATGTCGGCAGATTTGTATTGGAGCCTATGGGGCTTTTGGCAGAGGTTGTGTCACTCTAACACTCCTTGCGCCAAAACTAAAGAACTCTGGGATTCCATGAACACATTAATCCAATCAGCACAACCATACCCTCATTAATCTGAAGAAATGAAGCCTCTAGAGTGTATACTTTGGCTGCAAGGACAGAAGTTCCATACTTTTTTAACCAGATTCCTAAGCTGCTTCACCCTCTAGCCTCGAGCTCTCCACTCTAGCAGACGCAACACACACTCATGTAAAAGTCAGAAACGGAGCGAAGAACTAGTGAAACATAATCAGTGATTATGAAAAAAGTACAATAGATATCAAGAAGCAGTTTTTTTCATAAAATAGTTGAGACTTGTATCAACATTTGAAAGTTTAAATGGTGTCTGTAGCTGAAAGATTGGCAAAGCTGAAAAATCTAAAAGTTGAAGAAGTTTAGGAGGATTTGAAAGCAAACTCCATTTGAAAACCATGTTAAAATATTAATGATTATTGATTTATATAAATTCAAGCATAAGAGGTAGAAAGCTGAAAAGTCATAGCCCTCAAGCCAGAAAGGAGCTGAACATTTTAATATTTGAACGGTTTTAATAGCTGAAAGTGTGAAGGAGTTGAAAGGTGCCGCGGAAGAAATAGAAGAAGCTGAAGAATAAAGATTCGAAGAACAATACTTGGAATGCATCGTTAATGCATTCCAACAATAAAGATTAGAAGAACAATACTTGGAATGCTTAAAGCATTCCAACTAAATAGTGTAACATCAACAACCAGGCACAACGGGCACGGCTGGATACCACGTGTGACAAGGCACTCATTGTATTATTTGAGTAAACAAACCCTTTGACAGGAAACAAGATTAGCACCTTGTGAAGTTGCTGTGTGTTTCCCCTTAACACTTTTCCACTTTTTGTAAGTAAACTTTAGGGAAGGAGAGGAAGGAAGGAAGGAAAAGCAACACAGGTCAGCAGCTCTCGCTCTTTCTTGGACTTGAAACCGGCCTGGTAGACAGCAGCTTCCATGCATGTTCAGGATCAAAATCCTGCTGGAAAATGAATCCTCTTTGACACATATTACTCAGCCGGAAGGGGTAACATGCCTCTGCGTAATAAAGTGATATTTCTCTCTCTAGCATGTGTGGACCTTGTGCAGCCCCACGGCTGAATATTTTGCACAATAAAGACCGGAGGTTTTCTGCACCGTTGCATTTACATCGTCGTGCACTGTGCCATTGGATAAAACTCTCTGCAAATGTCAACTGAAAGTCAGCGGTGCAATGTCCATCTGACGATGGGTGCTGTCATGCGTCGCAGATCTGGTAGCTTTAAATGTGTTTCAGTCATGGGATCAAGGAAAGATGTGGAGGAGAATTCAGACAACCACAGTGTTTACAGAATCTGAGCAATCATTCATGACAATAACTAATGATGAATTGTGGAGGTTACTGACGAGGGTATGCCGTGGCTAAACTTCAACAGGGGGCTACAAAAAGAACAGATCTTACATTTTCTGCAAATCAGTCCACTGTTTCACAGACTTGGGCTGCTTCATTTGCTCCTCCTGCATAACTGCACACTTCATTCCTGCTCACTGCACCATCCACCAGCACAAGAAATGGCAGCAAACTGGAGGAAATATGGCAAAGCAGCTTCCCCTATGGACGGAGAATGGAAAAGAAAAACCTATATATGTACTGTAGACTGTAGGCAGATTGAAACATGTAACGTGGTGTTGTACCTTGAAAGAAAACACTACACAAAAATATTAATAAAGACAGGTAATATGCATATACAGAAATAACTTTCTGTCTTGCAGCCCTGACAAGGCATTAATAGCATAACGTATTTGTACATAGATCAATATACAATAAAGTTAAAGTCCAAATTGTCAGATATTAAATAAGTTATTGTTACAATATGTGGTGGCGGACCCGAGTGCAGATAAACCAGGGAGCAGAAGGGGGAACATTGCCAGGGAACCAGATGTGGAGAAACCAGGCAGGAAAGGGCGGGCAGACCGGGTAACCAGGAGGATGGATGACAGTGAGAACGAAAGGACAAGGTCAGTAGAAAGGCCAAAAAACAACTACTCTTGAACAGAGCACCCAATTGCAGCCACTACCAGGTCGGTTAAACCAACAACCTGCCGACAAGTGTTTGTGAGGAACCGGATAGATTCACCACAGGGTGATTAGTGGATTGAAGGCAGCGTGGGGGCCTGAGCAGATGAGGTGAATATAATCAGAAGAAGATCAGCTTGGAGCCACACCCCTACAACACACACACACACGCACACACACACAAACACACAAACCACAAGCAGGAAGCACGGCCTGGCAGTGACAGTTATTCTAACTCAATGACACAGTCAAAAATGAACACAATCAAACCGTGTGGATAATTAAAGCAAATATGTGATTACAGTTCTTTGCTGTCCGTCTGTCCAATCAGAAGAGTCCGTCCTCTGCTAGACAGATAGCTTCTGTTGTGATGTGCACTTCAGGGCCACCGTTCATAACACTACTCTCATTGAAGAGAGCAGCTGCCTTCTCCTTTAAACACTAAAGGGGAGGGGAGCTTTGTGCTGCTTAGAAGAACTGCTGCCACTTCTTGTAAATGGTGAGGGAGTCGCGATGAATGTTGAGCGGGTATCTGTTACACGACGGCTTTCAGGTCAAATACAGCAGGTCCTAAAATAAAAGACAAAAAAACATGGGAAAAAAGTATTTTTTGAATTCAAACAGAAAAAAGTCCATTTATTGCTGGCAAGCAGGAGGTGATATACACCGTGTATATTACAGTGCTCTGTGGAGATGGCGTCTCTCCGAGCAGTCAAAACGCTGAGTTTTTATACACACTTGTGAAGGCCATCCTCAGTGGCAGGTACGAGAAGTTGCAAACCAAGCAGAGATAAGAACCAAGGTTAAGATGGGGGTAACAAGCATAGTTCCTCTGTTCGTCTGTGTGAGAGCAAGTTAACTCCCTTCTTCAGACACAGCTGCAAATGGAAATCTTTCTGCTTTTGCACATCACTTCAATACAGACAATAATCACTCTTTTAGCATGAGACTATGTTATAACATATTTTTACCACTACAAACTTCCCCTGAAACAGCTGAAACTTACAGATATTAAACTGCCTCCTGTCAAAAGAATACTTACAATAGAGTAAAATAGTGTAACATCAACAACCAGGCACAACGGGCACGGCTGGATACCACGTGTGACAAGGCACTCATTGTATTATTTGAGTAAACAAACCCTTTGACAGGAAACAAGATTAGCACCTTGTGAAGTTGCTGTGTGTTTCCCCTTAACACTTTTCCACTTTTTGTAAGTAAACTTTAGGGAAGGAGAGGAAGGAAGGAAGGAAAAGCAACACAGGTCAGCAGCTCTCGCTCTTTCTTGGACTTGAAACCGGCCTGGTAGACAGCAGCTTCCATGCATGTTCAGGATCAAAATCCTGCTGGAAAATGAATCCTCTTTGACACATATTACTCAGCCGGAAGGGGTAACATGCCTCTGCGTAATAAAGTGATATTTCTCTCTCTAGCATGTGTGGACCTTGTGCAGCCCCACGGCTGAATATTTTGCACAATAAAGACCGGAGGTTTTCTGCACCGTTGCATTTACATCGTCGTGCACTGTGCCATTGGATAAAACTCTCTGCAAATGTCAACTGAAAGTCAGCGGTGCAATGTCTATCTGACGATGGGTGCTGTCATGCGTCGCAGATCTGGTAGCTTTAAATGTGTTTCAGTCATGGGATCAAGGAAAGATGTGGAGGAGAATTCAGACAACCACAGTGTTTACAGAATCTGACCAATCATTCATGACAATAACTAATGATGAATTGTGGAGGTTACTGACGAGGGTATGCCGTGGCTAAACTTCAACAGGGGGCTACAAAAAGAACAGATCTTACATTTTCTGCAAATCAGTCCACTGTTTCACAGACTTGGGCTGCTTCATTTGCTCCTCCTGCATAACTGCACACTTCATTCCTGCTCACTGCACCATCCACCAGCACAAGAAATGGCAGCAAACTGGAGGAAATATGGCAAAGCAGCTTCCCCTATGGACTGAGAATGGAAAAGAAAAACCTATATATGTACTGTAGACTGTAGGCAGATTGAAACATGTAACGTGGTGTTGTAACTTGAAAGAAAACACTACACAAAAATATTAATAAAGACAGGTATTATGCATATACAGAAATAACTTTCTGTCTTGCAGCCCTGACAAGGCATTAATAGCATAACGTATTTGTACATAGATCAATGAACAATAAAGTTAAAGTCCAAATTGTCAGATATTAAATAAGTTACTGTTACAATATGTGGTGGCGGACCCGAGTGCAGATAAACCAGGGAGCAGAAGGGGGAACATTGCCAGGGAACCAGATGTGGAGAAACCAGGCAGGAAAGGGCGGGCAGACCGGGTAACCAGGAGGATGGATGACTGTGAGAACGAAAGGACAAGGTCAGTAGAAAGGCCAAAAAAGGAACTCAAGGAACTTTTCTCCATGCTAGTTATTAATCTTTCTGGGACACACCAAGTCATTATTATTATTATTATTATTGCATCGTTAAATGATTGTCTTTTCTCTATAATTTCAACCTGAGGTCATATATGTGTTCTTGAAAGGGCTCAACATTTTAAAACTGTTTGACTGTAAATTGTATTTTGCACCCTGTATTAAAAAGCCTTATGAAACCAAAACATCTAAAAATAGCCGTATCTTCACTTTCGATAGTGGGAGTGAGTCACTACATAAAGAGCCGTTCTGCCAGAGCTGCAGGAGACACCTTCTGAACCAGAACTTCATCTGCAGCATTTCCTCCACTCTTTGACCCAAACATGGCCAGAAACTTCGGTAAGCGAGAAACTAATCCTTGCTTTAAAGTGCAGTTCTTAGATGATTCCGTTGCAGAGCTCAGCGCTGATCCCTTTTTTTGCGAAATGTTCCTCTGTACCTCATATGAACTCAGCTGCTATCGACACGTCCCAAAATGCTGTGACGGACAATTTATGAGGAGTCAGGAAAGTTTCACAGAATGAATATTTATAAACGTGTTATATCTAATTCCTACAGGAAAGTTACTTTCATGAGAGAAAGCAGTGAGCACGCACGGTGATTATAAAGATATTTTATGGCACTATTATAGCGGGACGTTTTATTGTGAAGTCCAGAATAACGGTTCCGGATATGTTCAGTCTTCTATATGCTGACATTTACGGTAAAATGGGAACTGGTGACATGGGGAGCGAGCGCAGAAGGATTAGCGTGTATAAAAACATGCAATCTGAATAAAAGCTGTTTAATCAATAATCACAGACAATAACTGAAGTATGTATGTTCAGGACCTCTATGACTACTCTTGTACACAAGTTGTAATGTTTTACTGTACAACCGTTGAGAATTCGACAAGATAAAAGTTGTGTTATACATGTCGAAAAAGGGTAATACCTCAATATCCGAGACTAGAACGATGGCTAAAAGCCCACCGGTTTGGGCCCCAGTGTGGTAGGTCTGCTGTGGGTAAACTACACCGAAGAAGCAATACAAAAAGTCCAACTACACCATGACCCCGTGAAATATGTTGCTTGGGTGCATGAAGGCCGTGTAGAAACGTATTTTGTAAGAATCGTGGCAAAGGAGAAGAACTGGAATGCTGGAATGACTTCATTCCTGCTCCTGTAACACTTCATCAGCACAGCTTCAGTAGAAAACAATTCACTTGTAAGTAACATCTAATAAACCGTTCAATATGAATATGTCCTTTGTGCAATAATGTAGATTCAACAGGTCGGGACTATTTTCTTTTTTTTTCACCTTTAGTCATTTGCCAGTGTTTTTTATTTTTACTGATGGTTCTTGTTGTTGGGAACGAGACAGTGTGATACTGTATATTTACTGCATACTCCCGTGTTTACTTTGCGGATTTAGAGAAATCAGAACAGCTCTTATCTGGAGGTCACATAATAGACAATATCAGGTAATTTTAGGAACCATAATAATAAAAAATAAGGACCATTTGACCGCAGCCTTATACTGTATTAGTTCTACCCAGTTACCTTACTGGGTTAGTTGTAAACACATTCCAGGGAGGTTCCACTTTGACGCAGTACAGCAGCTGACACAAGGGGTTGTTTAAAAGAACTGCTGGCTCCTCCTGTAAGTGGTGAACTGAACAGTTTATGGAAGCCACGTTAGATCATGGAGGGAAAGCTACATGACAACATTTATTTATCTCAAAGAAAATGTGTAAATTAAATCCTCAACAAATTCTTGTATTTTAGAATGGATTCTTCTTTATCTGTACCAGTAGCAATGAGTACAACATGTGTACGACCTGATGTTGATTCTTACCACATTTTTCTACACAGGAAGCATCAGAACAAATGATGAGGAGCTGAGGATAGTGATGGTGGGGAAGACTGGGATTGGGAAGAGTGCCACTGGAAACACCATTCTGGGACGGCCTTGCTTTGAGTCAAAGTTCAGTGCAAAGTCCATGACTGTGGACTGTTCCAAGGGCAGAACCACAGTGGATGGACAACAAGTCGCTGTTATCGACACCCCGGGCCTGTTTGACACCAGGTTTGGTCTGGATAAAACAACTGAAGATGTCTGCCAGTGCGTCACTTACGCTGCTCCTGGGCCTCATGTGTTCCTGGTGGTCATCAGGCTGGGCAGATACACTGAAGAGGAAAAGCACACAGTGCAGAGAATTCAAGAGATGTTTGGCCAGGCTGCAGACAAATACAGCATGGTCCTCTTTACTCATGGTGACCAGCTTGAAGGCACTATTGAAGACTTCGTGGGGGAAAGCCCAGACCTGCAGGAACTTGTGGACAGATGTAACGGCCAGTACCATGTCTTCAACAATAAGCTGAAGGATCGCTCTCAGGTCACTGAGCTGCTCCAGAAGATCCGAAATGTAGCCCAGAAGAACGGAGGAAGCCACTACACCAACGAGATGTTCCAAGAGGCTGAGAGGGTCGTTGAAGAGAAGAAACAAAGTATCCTGAAAGAAAAAGAAGAGCAAATACGCAAAGAGAAAGAGGAACTGGAGAGGAAACTAAGGAAGAAATATGAAGAAGAGATGAAGAAAATAAGTGAACAACTCCAGGCTGACAGAGAGAGGGAGAAGAAAGAGAGAGAGGAGGAGATGAAGAGAGAACGAGAGAAGATGAATGAGGAGAGATAGAGGGAGAAGGAAGAGAGAGAAGCAGAGAGAAAGAGAGAAAGAGAGGAGAAAGAAAAGGAAATGGCAAAAATTAAAGACCAGCATGACAGAGAACTGAGAGAAGGAGTAGAAAAGATGCAGTCAAAGTTTGAAAGACTGGAGAGAGAAAGAGAATTGGCAAAAATTAAAGAACAGTATGACAGAGAGAGGGAGAATAAAGAAAGAGAGGAGCAAATTAAGAGGAACATGGATCAGATGAATGAGGAGAAAAAGCGTGAGAAGGAAGAGAGAAAGAGAGACAGAGAGGAGAGAGAAAGAGAATTGGCAAAAATTAAAGAACAGTATAACAGAGAACTGAAAGAAGGAGTAGAAAAGATGCACAATAAGTATGACAAAGAGGCCAGAGAGGAAGCTGAGGGGTTCAATCTACTGTATCCTTTGGTGAAAGCTGGTGAATGTGTAGTTGAAGGAGTCAGAAAATTTGGCAGGTTGCTTGGGGGGATTTTCTCATTTTGATTTATCACACAGTACAAAAGTAGCACATTCAGGAATATGTGGAACAACAAAACATATCCTACGACATAATCTACATTTCCCTTGACCCATCATATTATACTCTCACATTGAAATATTTTTTCATTATTCTTTTGATAAGGCCTAAGGAGTTATTTAGTGTGTGAAATGTTTGAGTATCATTTTGCATTTTGCACGGTCTGTCGTTAAAGCATTCTTTGAGAAAGTTATGTAAGACTGTATCACATGGTACACTGAAGTGGTAATAAACATGTACTATTATGACCAAACATTTTCCAGAGAAATCATTAACTGTTCAACAAGAGGTTGAAAGGACTCAAGTCTTCATTGAAAATAAAAAAAGACACAGATGAACCCCAATGAAAATTAGCAAAGGTCTAGAATCTCTTGTCTGGTTGTGCTCGTAACAACTGACAGTGAACTTGGTGTAACTCTAAAAATGTGACAAGATGTGGAGCATCATTCCAAGTGATTATTATCTCCTCAGCTCAGTCCTCTTTCTAAGATTTGACTTGTGAACTTTTCAATCCGCTTTCACAGCTCTGCAGTCACATATAATGTAGAAACAACAGATATCACAAAACCCCCTTTTCTTCTTGTGCTGCAACTCCAACATTTACGATCTAATAAAATGCCTAGAATGTGTACGTCCTGCCCTCCGTTCACTTTTCTACAGTGTTTTTAAGGTGAGTCCCACTTGGGTTAAAGCCCAGTCGTGATACGTCATCATCACAGGACATGAACAAATGTTGGTCACACTCAGCAGCTCTGAGTTGGGACACAACACTGTATTCTGTTTATTTCCCTTCTCAGGCCACAGGGGAGCTGCTGTGCCGTATTTCCTGCAGTGTGCTGCTATTTCTTGTAAATGTTGGATGGAGGTGAGCAGGTGAAGTGTGTCCTGCAGAGGGAGCGAATGAAGCAGATCAAGTGTGTTAATCGGTGGACTGTTTAGCTGTAATATGGAGGATTACACTTGACTGGTTTTCAGAAAAGTAACTGAATCATTTAATGAGATCGTTCTTTCAGAAATGTTTCTCCTATGCATTATTTGACCATTTTGTAATTATTCAAAAATGTGTATGTAACTTCTAAGACGTTTGTTGAAGGGACTGTGTTTATTTGCACACAATCGCAGCTCATTTCTATCATAATGTAACCCCTCCCCTGCAACTGTCGCTTAGAGACAGTGCAGAATATACAGAATATAGGGGGGTATTCAAATTCAATCCAGGTTCGATGAGGAGACTGGTGAGTATTCAATTGGAAACAGGAAATGTCCACCCCAAATTACGCTTAACACAACAGATTTATTTATAGTTTAGAATCATTTCTGCAGCAAATGCACGATTCCACACATCAAAAGAATGTCCAAGCAGGTAATATAAAAAATTAAAGAAAACCTCTGAGATCTCATGAATAAGTTCGATCGGGAAAAAACATATAAAAGAGGGAGTATCGTCCAAAAAAAAAGAAGTCCTACCACCCTTCTGTGCACAACCAAAGTCAAGTCAAAGGGACTCCAGGCGCACTGTGACGTCCGATGTGAGGGTTCTCTTGGTGGTGGATGGATGAAGATGATGAAGATGTGGTGGCAGACCGGACAGTACTTCTGGTTCCAGTGAAGGATATCCCCCCAAAAAAAAGCCATGTTCAAAGGTTTTATCATCTTCCTCGAAACTCCCGGCGTTAAATGGCTCGTGCTTCAATATTCAAATTAAAGTTGTTAATTTTTCAATGAATCATTGGTGGTTTTCTGCTCACTCTTAACTTACTTCATTAAAACGGTCGGCGGAGAAAACAAAGATCTTCTACAAAAGGGACAGATGATCCCTTAAATAAATCTCTGTGCATAGAATGACCAAGATTGACTATTAAGGAGAATATGAACTCTTTTCCTGGTTAAACAGGGAAAATGTTACAACTTATTTAAGTTACAGTGCATCCGGAAAGTATTCACAGCGCTTCACTTTTTCCACATTTTGTTATGTTACAGCCTTATTCCTAAATGGATTTGCAAACATTTGCGAAATATATTTCCCTGTATGGTCGATGCTGTGTCTGTCTCTGACAGAGAGTCATGCAACAACACACATAAAATACAAGGTTTCTTGTATAATGAAGATGTTTAAGCTGGTAAAGCAGCTCTCAGGTCAAAGGTTATCCTGAATTCTGACTGGAAAAGGACACCTGTCCACCTGGGGGTTGATATTGTTGATCTGCACATTTAAGCCAGTTTGAGACGACTATTATTTGTCAGAAAGCAGCCATATTTTGAAGGCCTGACCTTTTGTTCATATGTTTATGCAATAACTTATTGCTGGGAAAACTTTTTAAATTGCATGAGGGTGATGTACTAAACCTCACAAAGGCTTATGCATATGTAGAGCAGGCCTCCTTATTGTAATGTAATTTATTCTTCTACACAGAACAAAATAAGGAGCTGAGGATAGTAATGATGGGGAAGACTGGGACCGGGAAGAGTGCCACTGGAAACACCATTCTGGGACGGCCTTGCTTTGAGTCAAAGTTCAGTGGAAGGTCCATGACTGTGGACTGTTCCAAGGGCAGAACCACAGTGGATGGACAACAGGTCGCTGTTATCGACACCCCGGGCCTGTTTGACACCAGGTTTGGTCTGGATAAAACAACTGAAGATGTCTGCCAGTGCGTCACTTTCGCTGCTCCTGGGCCTCATGTGTTCCTGGTGGTCATCAGGCTGGGCAGATACACTGAAGAGGAAAAGCACACAGTGCAGAGAATTCAAGAGATGTTTGGCCAGGCTGCAGACAGATACAGCATGGTCCTCTTTACTCATGGTGATCTTCTTGAAGGCACTATTGAAGACTTCGTGGGGGAAAGCCCAGACCTGCAGGAACTTGTGGAGAGATGTAACGGCCAGTACCATGTCTTCAACAATAAACTGAAGGATCGCTCTCAGGTCACTGAGCTGCTCCAGAAGATCCGAAATATAGCCCAGAAGAACGGAGGAAGCCACTACACCAACGAGATGTTCCAAGAGGCTGAGAGGGTCGCTGAAGAGAAGAAACAACGTATCCAGAAAGAGAAAGAAAAGAAAATACGCAAAGAGAAAGAGAAACTGGAGAGGAAACTAAGGAAGAAATATGAAGAAGAGATGAAGAAAATAAGTGAACAGGTCCAGGCTGACAGAGAGAGGGAGAAGAGAGAGAGAGAGGAGGAGATGAAGAGAGAAAGGGAGAGGATGGAGAGGGTGAGATGGATGGAGAGAATGGAAAGAGAAGCAGAAAGGAAGAGAGAGGAAGAGGAGAGAGAGAGGGAGATTGAAAATCTCAGGAAAGTTCTCCAGGAACAGCAGAGAGGGAAATGGAAATGGAAGAAGAGAGGTTGAGACTGCAAACACTGCGCGCCACTGAGAGCGATGATATTCGTACAATTTTATGATGTGGTTTTCCTATTTGTCTATGAATCTGCCAACGTATTCAACACTTCTCTTCAAATGTTTGCACCGCTTTGCCATACTTATACATTAATGTGACTAGTTTCAAGGAGATTCCTTCCCACCCTGAGTACAATGTTGAATTGACATTAACTTCTGAAGCTCTAATGTACTTTCTTGTAAGTCCCTTTTTCTAAATTTTATCAAGACTATTTATATTGATCGACTGTCTGGTTAACGTGGTTGACTTATTTTGAAAGACTGAATTGTGTTTTTTTTGTCTGCAGCCCTGCACTAAGCAGCACGTCATTCTTGTTTATCGTTGCATTACTTATCACATAGGTCAATGAACAACATAATGTCATATGATCATAGAGAAATATCATTTTCTAAATTAATTGTAGCTCTTATAACATACAATTGCAAGAAAAGCACTTCATCACGCAAATCACGTGCCCTTTCTAGGCAGGTTAATATTAGTTAATAAAAAATGAATATAGCGACTTGACATTTGATTATACTTTTAATAAAAGGTATTCATTCTAAATTAATAAGTGTTACATGTTCATGTCATTTTTAGCATCAATTTGTCATGAAAACCTTATTTCAGAAAGTTATGTGAAACTGTACGTGTTCATATGCTAAACTGAAGTAGTAATAAAAATGTACCATTAAGACCAAACCGTCTCCAGAGTGATGTTCAACTATTCAACCACGAGTTCAAAGGACTGAAGGCTTCATGGAAAATGAACTAGAGAAACAATGGAAGAGACAGTGTCAAGACACTTTGAATATTCTTTGCCCGTGGTAAATACGTTTTTGAATAAACGTATATAATAAAGTCCAAAATGTCAGATATTAAAGAAATAATTCAAACTTATAATGAATTACAAATGAAAAGTAAATATAAGTCAACCATGAATCATGTTATTTAAACATAACTCACAATGCCATTTTTGTTTAAATTATTGTTAATGAAATACTTCTCTGTAGGTCAATATTGGTGACGCCATAAGTGGTATATGGAGCTAATTGTGACTGACTTATTGGATAAATATAAAGACACTTATTTTGTAATCAGTTCTTACCGTAATGCCCAGTACATACGCGCACATTGACAGCAGACGAAGACGGCATCTGACAGATCAGCGAGGCGCCGTGGAGACAGAGGCGTAAATAAACAAACAGCTGTATTTTAGTCCACCGCTGCCGTTTTACAGAGGCACAGCGCCCGGCCAGGAGAAAGTGACACGGCACACACTCTGGATATCTTCGATGTTTTATTGATTCAACAGAGGTTGTTGCAGCTGGAACATCTGCATTGAGTGACTCTTAAAAAGGTTGAGAGAATGCACAAAATGGCACAAGGCAGTAAACATCAGGCAGCATCTTATCCAACAGATAAAGGTCTCAACTTAAGATGAACACAAAATAGATATGAAAGCCTGTAATAACTGATGTGACATCACATGTGTTGAATAATGTCATAGCTTTAACTGGGAAATGAGCACGGCCATAATTTTAATAATAATATTTGGAGCATCATTAATTCTTCAACAAATGCAGATGAACATCGTAACACATTGTGAGCACAACAGTTGCTCACAGGCCTTTAATCTAAAAAGACTTTTCAAAGTCAAATGAAAACATTCTAACAACAAAAAGTACAACAACTGACAACATTCAATCAGCTTGATACACAGTCCAGAATTTATGGTGTCATGGTGCAACAACCACATTTCACGGTCTCATTTCACTAATATTTAGTCACCTTTTGGACTTTTGGTTTCCAGTTATTATTTTGGCCCGGCTCCTTTCTCCTTTTTAAACTGAGCGATTTGATTGAAAATATCCAGCAGGTTCGTTGGGAGGTCTTTTTTAGCCCTCCCTTCTGGCCCTGAGGTCAAACTACCCGGTGTGGTGTGATTTCCAGCCTCTGACCGGTTGCTGCCGTCCACTACTTTCCCCTTTCTATTGTCCCTCTCTGTCTTTCCCTCTATTAACTCTTGGAGCTCCTCCCGCCCTCTCCCCTCATGCCCTCTGCAATCCAAGGAGTTCCTCCTGGAGGAGTCACATCTCATCCCTCTCTCTGCGTGTTTTGATGCAGAACCCGAGTTGCCTAAATATTCAGATTTGAAACTGGATTTCCGTGAGAACTCAGACTCTGTGGACGAGCAGGACACCTTCCGCTTCCTGTCCTCGCCCGAGCTACTTCTCTTGGAGTCGCTGTCCCTCCGGTCTTCCCTGTTACGCTCCCTACCCCTCTCCCTGCTGTTATCACTACCGTCTTTGCTCTCCTCTCTTTCCAGGCTTTTGCTCAGACTGTTTTTCCTCCTCTTTCCCCTGCTCTCGCCTCGGTCCCTTCTCTTACTGTCCCTGCGTGAGGAGTCCGACTGTTCGTCCTCTGAGGCTGCAGACAAGGAGTACAGTTGAGAGATACGCCTATCGTCAGCGTCCTTCACCATTACCTCGTCCCCCCCGTCCCTCTCCCCGAAACCCGGGCCTCCCTTCTGGTCGAGAAAGGTGGCGGAGGTGTTAGGAGGAGCGGGATACCACTCCACCTCGTCCTCCTCTTTCACCGCCCTGTCTTTCTCGCTCTTACCCTCCTTACACCTCCTGCTCTCCCGTGAGGAGATCCTGCCACGGCGCTTACTTCCCCGCTCGGACCTCCTCCTCTTCTTTTTCTTCTTTCTGGACCTTGTGCGAGAGGAGGAGGACGAAGACGGAGAGGAGTTCCTGGAGGAAGTGGTGGATGAGGAGGAGGATGTCGCCGACCTCTTCCGTTTTTTCTTCATCCTGTGAAGAAGACGTTGACTGAACATTTATTCTTGTGAAAACGACTCGCCTGGCTTCATCTGCAGTATATCTACCTGCCACACTTCAGGTCAACTCACCTCTTCTCCTCTTTTAAGATCTTGCGCAATTTCTCAGCACTGATCTGGCTGCTCGTAGCTTTCTCCTGCTCCTTAGCCAGCGCTTCTTCTCGCAGGCGAATTGATTTCTTTATGGTCAGCGGGCAAAACAACATATGACAATGGCAGGCAAAAGTCCACAGCGACCCAATCGAACACGCCCAGCCCAAAGACACGCGATGCACACCCCGAAATTCACCGACATGCAGTCATTCATTCATTTTTTTTCCAGTTGGTGTTGGAGTAAAAAATATGGGGGGGTTAAGAGGCAATAACGATAGCCAGCAGAGAAGCAGATGGATGGACAGAGAAAACAAACAGCATGTGTTCCCCATTGAGACAGAGAAGGTTTCAACGTTACCGTATTTGGAATCGGGGACACGGCACGCGAGTGTCCAGTGGAGGAGCCGGTGTCATTGTGCCGTTTTTTTTTTATTTTCACGCCCGCAAGGCAGGTGACAAGACCACGGCAGTTGGAGGGTCAAATGGCAGAGTCCCAGGGTCGCAGAGACACACACACATACACCAAAACACTTCATCAGTATTACAAACCAAACGGCGTCGGGGACACGTGAGCCTTCATACACAGAACTCTGTAGAAGGACGTTCAGCGTACTGGATATTTCAGTGACGCTCGTCGACATGCCCCTGTAGACCAGAGGACTGTCAAAGATGTAACAGATATATGCAGCAGTCGACTTGAGACTTTCTTAAAGGGTTGAAGGTTTTTTGTATAATCGTTTTTTTTTTTTCAAGACATCCTTCCTTGACATGTAGACTTCACAAAGCTGCAATATGGCCATTATTGGTGGCAATGTCTATACTAGTTAAGCCTTAAGTACAGTGTGCATACCTGCAAACTTTACCCCAACCTCTGTGTGTGTGTGTGTGTGTGTGTGTGTCCCTCTCACCTGTATGGTATCTGTGATCTTGTGCAAGGCTTCCTGCGCCTCAGGGCTTGAGCCGTCGAGAGAAAGCGCTCTCCTGTACAATCCCTCTGCTGTTACCAGCTTCTCTTGTTCCTCAAGCCTACAGACACACAAACACAAGAAACCTTTGAGACAACAAGCTGCCGGATGCTCATTCATTTGTTCTTATCGTCAATGTTGACTAAACACAAACGTGTTCAAATAGTTTTTAGGATTGTCCCCCTTTTTCCCCCAAGTTTTTAAAAAAGAAAATACTGCCAGGAAGAAAAGTTAGATGAAAAAAAAAAAAAAAAAAAGTCTTATTGAGTCAGCAGAGTGTGCTGTGGGACTGCTGCTGTCGCCTCTTCAACCCCACATGTGGGCGGAATAAAAAAGCATGACGACAATTACATGGTCAATACTTACTAAGATGAATGTGACCCAGTAACAGGTTCTTAAACTAGAACATCTTGAAACACAGGCCTGACAATGAACCTCACCTTGTATGAACTCCACATAACTAAAGCCACTCATTGTTGGAGCTTGTTGCACTGGGAGTCTCACCGAGCATGACGGTGCAGGTGAAGTCAAGACGCTCACTTCACCTAAAGCTACTTTGGATGGCGGTCTGCCTGGCTTCCGGACAAGCCAACAGTATATTGGTTGAAACGCTAACAATAAACTTCTACTAATTAAAACCATACATCAGGGGGTTGAGTTTGCACCCAGTATGCAAAAATAGAGCAATTTGTTGGGAGATGTTTAGAAGCAAATCCTTGTAAAGCGCCTTTACTGAACTATCGTCACTTTAATGGACATGTGACGTCGCTAAATAGCTAACGTTGCACAGAACTCCAGTGATGAACCGTAGACGGGAGCAGTAATGCTCACACCAAGTCAGCTGTGGCAGGTGGTGAGAAACAAAATGAACTGTGAGTTTCCCAAACGGTTAACAGACACACAGACCCCCTCACACAAGAAGTGTTAACATGAGACGGACACTTAAGCGTGCAGCACAAAGGCAGCGAACAGCAGGAGCACAAACACAACCTTCAACTCGGGAGACGATATCTGGTAAAGTCTGCATGTTTCATTATTCAACAAGCAGGACCGATGAATACACATGAACACATTAAGACGGCTCGATTGCTCCGAACTACGACCGCGGCTAAGGTGTCCCTGCTTACTGTTTTCCTCTCTCCACCAGCGTCTGGCACAGGTACTTCTTGGCGTTGCGGTGATCTGGGCAGCTCTTCAGGGCCAGTTCGAAGTCTGTTATGGCCTTCACGATGCTGCCTTTGTTAGCATACCTGAGCACATCCAATGAAGGAAACATGGTAACAAATACATCTTACATATTACAACTGAGATACAATAATGCTCAGATTTATTTCCATTTTCTCTCATGACTTCTGCGTAAACTTGGTTCGTGGTATCACTTATTTAATATTTTGCACATCACTATTGTGCAAAACAGACAATTATGCTAATATACTCAACGACATTTAAGTATTAGATGCCATTTATCGGCCATTTAGTAGAAAATATTACACGGGTGGGTGAGGTATCTGAAGTATTTCTCTACATTTTCTCACAAACAAATTGATGCATACTGTTAAAACAACAAACTATTTAAAACTACACTTGCGCTCATGAAACTCAAGCCTGGTAAACAATGCATGAAGGTCTAATTATTTCAAAACTTCCCCGCAGTAAAAAAAGGTTTTAAAAGTTAAACCAAACCGGAGTCATAAAGTGTCAACAAAACCAACGTAGGTTTCAGGAGATCAAAAAACTAAATCCACTCACAGAGCTCCACGAGCCACCAGTGCTTCTACGTTATTAGCGTCAATATCCAAGGCTTTGTTGTATTCATTCATGGCTTCAACGTGGTGGCCATGTTTGAAGTAGCCCACACCTGCACGGACACTGAAACGAAGACAGACGTGGAACAGGAAATGAAGAAGACAACATAAAAGAGGACGTTTGTGCAGCGATGAATAGGATGGATGGACCGCTGATATATTTCATCATTACCACTTCAAGGCCCATGATGCAGACTGTTTCTTCCTGATTGCAGAGGCAAAATCTTCCTCTTGAAAAAGTTTGCTGTGGAGAAAAGAAGCACAGGTGAGAACTCCGTTGACCCTCAAAGCCTTAATAAATCAGCGTGTTGATTACCTTTGCAGTCCTCTCATCATTGACGGAGGGTGGGTGTCACTGACTCCCACCTTTTCGAGCAGGTAGGCCACAACAGATGGGTTGTGGTAGCCATGGCAACTCTTCAGTAAACATTCATAGGTCTCACTGGAGTCAGTGGCTGCATCGACGCTACGGCTAAGAAAAGGCGAGAGGAGTTAGCGTCGCGTGCTCAAAAAGAAAAACACACTAGCCTTTTCAGGCGGTAGTGCCCTAAACGTTTTATTTGGCATATCCTGACAGCAAGTAACACAAAAATCTGCATACTACTAGCAAAGTGTAACAAGGAACAACATTGAGGAGCGCAACAGAAATAAATGGCCTGCTTCCCCTTTGTTTCTCTCCATGACTGCAGCAGACTGCATGGGAATGTTTACTAAACTTTACCAGTTCTGCACCACGGCTGGACAGACCGATGGTTTGGGGAGTGAAGTGATGATGCTAATTAGATTAGCATACAGTCTGAAAATAGCATAACTTGATGAAAACGGGCATCTGTAAACAGATTATTCCACGCCACATTTGGATGTTCCCGGAGGGTTTATTTGTCTCCTCTGGTGGACAACAAAATGTTTTTGTTTAAACTGATAAACGTTGTGTGTTAGTTATTTTTACAGGACCAGTATGACGTGAATCTACATCCTCCATCCCTTCATCTTGAAAATATTTGAACATAAATGTTTCAACTAGCGTTTAGTAAAAATAGTTTTAGTATTACACACACACACACAACTATTTTAGGCGTATACAAATCATTTGAATTTTATTTTTTAAAGACTTTAGTTTTGTTCAGTGTTGTATATTATGTAGTGTCTTATCAGGTCATGCTGTGTGTTTACCGGTAGTGTATCGGCAGCTCCTCCCGAGGAACAACGCCCAATTTAATGTGCTCCAAGTTGGGAGAAAGAGAGGCCTGGAGGAGGGAGACTGTGATTTTCTCCTGGTAGCGGTCGATATCTTTCACTGCAGCTACAGAACAGGAAGGTTGAGAACTCAGAAGATTTGAAAAAGATTTCCCTGGCTTGACCAAATGTTAACACTTTCTCTGACTCCCACGTCTGTAATGCATTAGAAATATTTTTTGTTGTAATCTGCTCATAATGCTGCACAGTGATAGTATATTCACATATAGAATCACTAAATAGAATATTCATAATGATTTGTTACAATAAGAATTAGAAAAAAACACAAAGCATTTCATTTTGAACCATCAATTAAATTATCATAATAGTTACAATATGCATAATAGTTTTTGCAAGGATCACTGCATATACAGTAATGATCACTGTTATGATGCGTAATAAGTTACTAAGTCCAATGACGACTTAGTAACTTATTATGCATCATAACAGTAGTAGTAGTAAATAAATCCAGAGGTATACGTAGATAAAATATATTGCAAGGTGGTTATGAGTTACTCTCATATTTCTAATGTAATGATTACCAAAAAACTAACAAAATAGACAACAATTGACTCAAAATAATAATATTTATAATAATAATAATAATAATAATAATAATCTGTCCCCAAACCTGTATGATTCAATAATCAACTTAGTGAGAACAAATTGGAGATAATGTCTGCACAAAGAGAAAACCACTAAAACACTGACCTCTGATGAAGTCCCCGATCTGGAAGTAGGACAGAGGATCATCATGGCTGCCAGTCGAGGGAATTTCTCTGATGTGGCAAAGAGCCTGTAGGTGGAAAGAAAATGTAGTTGCAGAATTTACTACAGCAACTCTATTTACACAACCGGGTCATGACATAAAATCTTGACGAACACATTGTTTACTCGCACTGGCTATCGTTCCAGTGGGCTGGGGTACTGGCCCAGCTGGACAATGGATGACGGACTGGATTTAGCTTGTTGACATACCGAGAGCTCTAGGTCCTCTATGTCTCTCTTCAGTCCTCCTGCTGTGCACAGCAGAGTGAGAAAGAAGCCGTATTCTCTAATGTTGTTGATCCTCCCCACCAAAATGTCTCCTTTTTCCAAGTCCCTGTACATCATGGCTCGTCTTTCTTCAAAAGACACCTCCATGAATAACTCCAGAGGCGGCATGATGGCATACGGCTCTGGGAAAGTGGAAGACAACAGCATCAAACGCGTTGCATAGGAAGAGAGATTTCTCTTTCCCAAAAAAAAACAGAACCTTTTCAAAAACTCTTTACAGAGTGGATGGATCTAGAGGCGCCAGTTCAAATATTTATCTTTTATGAGGAAAATTGAGTTTTTGTTAATCTATGACACAAGTCCCTACTGGGGGCTCTGTGGCAGCTGAGAGAAACATTTACACCCAATTTCATAATTCAGTATACACATCCTGACGTGTAATGGGTAACCCGTATTTGTTGGTCAGATGACATGGCAATCATAGATGTGTTACACACCTCAGTGAAATTGATCAGCAATGTAATCAAACAATTACGAACAAGAAGCCCATTAATAAATGATGTCCACACAGGCCAGACTGAGCACTGAAGCTGCTGCTCAGTCTGGACATTTTCAAACAATAACGCAGTTTTTCTGGCACACAAACAGATAATCATGGGCAAAAAGCTCAGTCCTCACATGATGCTCTGTTTTTTCCAAGTGATTTTACAGGTTTTTGAGCGTTTTAGTGGAGAGAGATATTTGCAAAATTAAACATATTTGATGACTGTGTGTGGATCGAGCCTGAGGGACGTGGTCAAACCAACACGTACCTGCAGCGTCGTCCTCCTCCTCATGTTCCTCTTCTTGATGAGTGGTGGTCTTCCACGCCGGACAGAACAGAATGTCGGCCTTTCGGGCAATGAACTGCTCCACAAGCGGGCTGTCCTGCTCATCACTCTTGCTGCACAAAACACAAATGTTCAGCGAGGCTCTTTGGAGACCGACACTGGTCAAATCCAGTATTGTGGCGAGCACACGCCTGAATTCTTGCACACCCAGTGACGAGGTTATTGGAGGAAACTTTTCGGTAATGGACCTTCATCATGCATGTAATTCACAATATGAAGAACAAACATTATTTCTCAGCACCAACAAATGGGTGTCCAATCGCAAACACCTGACACAGTATTACTAATAAAGGAATCCTGAAACCGGGTGTAGAGCTGAAAAAATAAGTCAGTAGTTGATCAGACAAACAACAACATCAATCAACTACAATTTAAAAATGAATCAACAGGTTTGAGTGTTTTTCTAGCAAAGAAGGCCAATTAATTTATGCTGACCAGTTTGAAGGTTTGTCCTTTCTTCAATGTATATAATGGTAAAAGAAAATGCTGAACTCGGCTTTACTGTACTGTCGGACAAAACAAGTAATTTGAAGAAGTTGCCTTGGACTTTTTGAAATTTTGAATTAAATTGTGCACCTTTACCAAATGTTAAGATATATCATTGACTACAATAAAAATAATTGTTAATAGCCTTAGATCAGACATTTATAAAGACCCATTCATGAACTAAAAGATGATATGGTAAGGGCACCATAATTCGTCAAAGCTACCACAATTATAAACTGGAATCTTTATCTAAACAAATCATACAAAGAAAATAATACACCTGATTAAATACCTTTCACACGAGACCTTGCACAGGTCAGACAGCACAGCTTGGAAGTCTGGGTTTTCCGTTTGTTCACATTTCAGCTTGTTGAAAAAGGATTCTCCGTGATAGGTCAGACACTGCCTCAAAAGGTCTCTGTCCATTCTGTTTGTACAGGACTGCAGTCACATTATTCCACAGGTCGAATAAAGAGAGCTAACGTTAGCTATTGAGTGCAGCGGTTCAAACGTCTTCATCGAAATTGAGCGAACGTGTCATTTGTCTGAGGGTGCAGACATGATTTCTTCCCCCATCAGTAGGTACGTCTATTCTACAGATCGGTGCATTAACTCAGAGTGTAAAATGTTAAAGGTCTATTAAAAGCGCAATAACTTTTAAGTCAAGTTAGCTGGATAACAACGTTGCTCTTGGTTGTTTAGCTAGCCAGCAAAACAAACGCCACTTGGTAAACGCCAAAACACTAGCAGGTTGAAATCATCCTCGGAACAGACAACGTAACAACAGTCTTACACGATCAAAGTAGCTTCCTCAACCGCAAAAACACGATTATCGCATAAATTCCACTAAACCTCGACTACTCTTTTCTCCTGCGTCGACATCGCACATGGACAAGTGCGCATGCGTAAATTGTGTTACACTGAAACCGTCGGAAGAAACAAATCCCAGCTAGGAACTAAAGTGGATGAATCGAAACATTAAAATAGATATAATTTTTTAACATTCACATATTTACCCAAATACAAGTATTGGCACACAAAAGTACACAACTACAACAAGACTGTTCAACTACAACCTCCACAACTGCGGACTCTAGAGCTAAAGCCCCAACAACTACAACAATCATGGTTGCAGCTACCAGAAGTGTACCCCAACAACTGCAGGAACCACAACTACATCTCGGACAACTGCTGCCCCGACAACTGAAACCGTGACAATTACTCTTTCAACCGCCACAACTGTGGCCCCCACAAATTGAGTTGTATGGGTTAAAATGCAATGTATGTCACTTTGGCTATAAGCTAAATGACTGTAATGTAATGTAATGTAACTCCAAACCTGTAAAACTGCAGCCCCAAAACCGTCAGGCCACACAAATACAGCTAACGAACCTGCAGCCAAGACAGCTATTGGTCAAATGATCACATTTGGACCAAACACAACTGCAGCACATCTCTAGCTCCAACAACCAGAATTAATTTTAATTGTTAACTTGTGTTAATGGAGATCATTTGTCCTCCAATAAGTTTAAAGTTACTTCATTGGCGGAGTAACGGTTCTGGGTAAGAGCAGAGACTCTGGTGAAGATCAAAATCCAAAAGTCAGGAAAGCAGAGAGAGCACGGAATTATATATTTCTGGGGTTGGCGGGGGGAGAAACTATGGAGCAGTGAATGCGTACACAAGGGGTTCCTCGGTAGAATATTTCCTGGTTATCAGGTTACGTGCCAATGTAATGGCACTCCCTAGCTGAGGGAGAAGTAAACCACATTATGCAACAAGCACTCATTTACAAATTACCTGTATGCATCTGTAAGTCATCATAGAAAGAAAAATACATAGTTTCATATTTTTGCTTGAATATTTACATGCATCTTCTGGTCAACGTAACTATTTGAGTGATAACATTATACATTTCCCCTGGATTTCTCTGACAAAAATTGCTCATCTGATATTCTCCTTGCTTGTGTGTGGGTGGTGACAAGCTCAAGTTGATGATCTTGTCATTCACAATATCTGCAGCCCCAATAACCATAATTAACTAACTAACCCCTCACTTATTTCCTCCATCTCAGTTATACCACAAACTGAGATGCAAGAAATAAGTTTGTAAATAAGTTTGTGGTATTTATAAATACCACAAACTTATTGTGACGACTACCTCGCTTCTGACAGACGAGAGGATCGTTGTTTGTTATTTTTTTAATATTGATTTGTATTGCGCTCACGGTCTGCAGCGTTGTTGTTTTCAACTGCTGCCCTGACGACAAATGCTGCTCTTTTTTTCTCTGATGAAAAAAAGTTGAATCAAAGACTTAAAAATACAAATGATTAGCAACAAATGAATTAATACAGCGGTTGAATTACTCCATAATTATTATTATTTATTGTAGTATGGTAAGGCCATTGTATGACATAATTAGTGATGTAGTCTGTAGTGTGAACTGTTTTGTAAATGTGTGTGAACTTGACCTACCTGGTTTTTCAGGTAATATTCAAGTAGCCTCGTCCCGTCACTGCTTTCAGAGGGAGGAGTCATCCACAAACAAATGCAACTGTGATTGACTAAAGATTTCTCTACATCTTGAGTAGTAAGGACTCAGTCATCATGGAAAGACACATCCTTTCTTGTATATTTCTCTATGGATTTCTACATGCATCCTCTGCACAAGGTAAGGGTTTAAATGATGTTTTCATGGGTATGATTGTTTTACTTTCTGATTTGCCTCATTACATCAGAGTGGACTTGAGACTAAAGTGAAGGATTTCCTTCTTTCTGTGTCTTCCATTTAAAATTCTATAAAATATTGTCAACATGTTATGCTGCCATTGTTTTCACCATGGTATGTTTATGTTTATTTAATTATTTTCTTTTACTTGTGTTATATTTTATTCTCACAAAGACCCCAGGGGTCCGTTTCAAGTAGGAGGTTTAACAAACTCTGAGTCAAACCCTAAACTCTGACTTGATTTACCCCGAGATAGTAAACTCTGAGTTTTGGGTTTCGATAATGTATTGTATTTAGGTCCATCCTGTGGAACTCCTCTTTAATGGCTTCACTGGTTTGTGTCCAGGGAACAAAAAGGTTTAAAAGATGTTTGAGAGCAACGCACACGTTTCTCACGGCTCTGCATGCAGCAGCTTTACTAATATTCTAATGTTGTAAAGGAAACTGACGTTTGCAGAAAAACGTAATACTACACAAAGAATGTGCTCAGATATGAGAGCATGTCCACGATGGGTGACGTTACTTATATGAGGACAGGTGAGGTCATGGACACATATTTGATGGACTGTGAAGAAAAACAATACTGTTGAAACAAGTAGTCATCTGGAAAAGACAATGTATCTAACTGGGGTCTCAATATTCTCTTAACGTGTTTAACACCCTGCGAAGTAAAACCAATTCCTCATCAACAGGATCGTCCAGAAAAGGACGTGACATGTTCGAGAAAAAACACTTTAGTCTTAACGTAACAGATCTTATTTTGTGCATATGTGGAAACTGCGCTAAAATACGCCTGATACAAAGGACTGTAGGAATGAGGAAATGATGTGATTATCTGGGCTGCTGTCAGAGGGAGGGGACTGTTTGACCGACTAGTTTTGGTTCACAGGCTCAGTTAACATGGTGACTGACCCTGAGCTTTAGTTACCTCCCTTTGCCAGAGTTTCCCTCATCTCAGGGTTCACAAACTCCACTAAACTCGCTTCTTGAAACGGACCGCTGGGAGTAGTGTATTGCAATTATTATTATTATTTGTATCATTATCAACATAATTATAATTTATAATCAGCATTATTATTTCACGTCCCACCGTCTCATTTTAAATATCAGCAAAATGCAAAACAAATTGATTGGGATTTATTGATTCAATAGCATTGCTCAATTGAGATGTATTGCGAAACATGTGTGATTAATGTCAATCCCGAAAAATATTCATTCAAAATAAAAGCTGCATGAAACAAAGAAAGTAAATCACGTTCACAGAATCAATCTTTTCCCTTTATCAATGTTAAATTTCTGACACCCTCTTAAAAAAACGTATTGAAATTAAAAACAAAACTAATTAAATCGGAACTAGTCTTTGTACAGGAAAGGGTAGTAGTTCAACGTAAAAACCTTTTTGTGTAGGTATTATAGAGCTTTATTTGCAATTGTCAAATAAAAAAAACTGGCACACAAAATATCACCTCATGCATTCCCTACTACTTAGACATGACATCATATATTTCATTATTAACTTATATTGTCTTATGAAACACACCAGCAGTCTCAACGACTGCGCCCGGCAGTATTGCTTCAACAACTATTTTCCCAACACAAGTGGACCTAACATTTGTGCCTTCAACAATAACAACAACAACTACGGCTCCAACAACTGCTGCCACAACTGCGGCTCAAACAACCGTAGCCCCAACAACATCTGCTCCAACCAATGCTCCAACTGATGCTCCCACTACTAATGTCGCAACAACTGCTGTCCCAACCGCAGTCCCAACAACATCCACTGTTGCCCCAACCACAACTACTGTTACCCCAGGCACAACCCCTGCTGCAGCAACAGCCACAACTGCTGCCCAAATAACAACTGCTACCCCAACAACAACTGAAGCCCCTACTATAACTACTGTCGCCCCAGCCACAATTACTTTTGGCGCAACAACCGCTGCCCAAACTGCTGCCCAAACTACATCAACCGCTGCTCCAACCACAACTACATCTGCTGCCCCAACAACCGCAGCCCCGACCACTGCAGCATCCACGACTGCAGCTCCTACTACTACGGCTCCAACAACTATGACTGTGACAACAACAGCCCCACCAACTGTCGCCCCAACAACAGCTGCACCAACGACTACTGCGTCTCCAACAACTATTACTTCGACAACAACAACCCCAACAACTGTCGCCGCAACAACAGCTGCACCAACAACAACCGTAGCCCCGACAACTGCAGCACCCACGACAGCAGCTCCTACTACTACGGCTCCAACAACTATGACTCCGACAACAACAGCCCCACCAACTGTCGCCCCAACAACAGCTGCACCAACGACTACTGCGTCTCCAACAACTATTACTTCGACAACAACAACCCCAACAACTGTCGCCGCAACAACAGCTGCACCAACAACAACCGTAGCCCCGACAACTGCAGCACCCACGACAGCAGCTCCTACTACTACGGCTCCAACAACTATGACTCCGACAACAACAGCCCCACCAACTGTCGCCCCAACAACAGCTGCACCAACGACTACTGCGTCTCCAACAACTATTACTTCGACAACAACAACCCCAACAACTGTCGCCGCAACAACAGCTGCACCAACAACAACCGTAGCCCCGACAACTGCAGCACCCACGACAGCAGCTCCTACTACTACGGCTCCAACAACTATGACTCCGACAACAACAGCCCCACCAACTGTCACCGCAACAAACACAACTGCTGCTACAATCGTGGCCCAAACAACTGCGGCACCCACTACTCCAAACCAAGGCTTGTGACACTGGGATTTTTCCCTTTTCATCTTTACTTTCTTATCCATACTGCCAATAATACAAGATGTTCTTATGGTTTGAGGTCACATTGACAAAGAAATACAATTGAATCCCCATTGACCCCGAGCATAGCTTCAACCCTTTGAATGGGTCCTGGGTTTAATTCAAACTAAAGATAGTTTAAATGAATATAAGGAGTCAATGTAGACCAAGGCCACTGACATTTCAATCTTGCAGAACTGTGTTAAGTTCAGATTTTACTTTTCCTAAATTTAGTTAGTAAAATCATTCAATTTTTAAAGGGTTACAGGGTTGACAGAGTCGTATTAGTTTTTGGATCTAAGTAGAAAAAATTAATCTCTGTTCTTTTATACCTACAGGCTTTGTATTAATGGCTCTACAGATGAGAATAACCTCCTTTGGAGAGGTTAGCAATGCAATCATCATTGAACGTGTTAAAGAGGTAGGAAAAACGGGAAGTGGTAAATTAACTGGTTTTAAAATGCTCCTTACCTTTTATCATCCATGTAATCTTCTCTGTGTTTTCTCTCAATTTAGTTTTTTGAAAAGCAGATCCCGAATGGAACATTTCACACAATCAACGTGGCAAACATTCAAAGGGTGGATGCTAATTGAAGACAGCAGTTCAAGGTTATGCTGGCAGAATTGTTTCAACACCATGTGAAATGGTAGTTAACCTTATTCCTTTCTTCATATTTGGAAAGACTCCTTTGGCCATTTATGCCACTCTACAATCCGTGAACAATATTCCAAAGAATTGGAGATGTTTATTAGGGTTCAAATTGATCAAACACAGCCAGTTTAGTGAATTTTCCGGCGTTAGGCAAAAGTGTTCAAGTGAAAAGTTGAAAAAAGTTGCAAAAAAATCAAAAAGTTGATTCAACTGTTACAGTCAATTGTACCAAAGAGCTGGAGTCATTATACAGTGTTAAACTCTACATAGAGTTTATTTGTTTTGTATTCAACACTGATCAGATTTATTTGCGACACTTAGTAGAATTAAATTATTAATTTAGGTTTTAAATGTCACTGTACACAACTGTCATACTTCTTGGTGTTGGGCTTAACTCTTTAGATTTTACACTTATTCCGAGTTACATTGTTAAGACTTCGCTGAGCGTTGATTTAACACTGATAACATTGGGACAATATTAACACCAGCTTAGAGTTAAAATTGAATCTCACAGAGTCAATTTAACTCTCAGAAATGTGCTGTGATATATAAAGAGAGCAGTTCAAGGTTATGCTGGGAGAATTGTTTCAACACGATGTGTAGTGGCAGTTGACCTTATTCTTCATATCTGCAAAGACTGCTTTAGCAATTTAGCATGACGCATCAAATGTTGTTGCACTTCACTGTGTGGCGGTGATCTACAGCCCACACCTAGAAATTACCAGAACTATCTTGATTTCCGTCTGATTTTTTAATCAAAAATGTTTTCACTCTACAATCCGTGAACAATATTCCAAAGAATTGGCGATGTTTTTTGAATGTGCATAGAAGAATGGAAAGCTCAAACTAAGGAATATGATCTTCCAAAGAGGTTATAAATAGGTATCAATAATTCCCATGCTCTTTAACTGGAAGAGAAGCTGCCAAAAAACACCACACCCATCATCATGAATGAGGAAAGATCTCACATAAACACTGGCAACAATAAACTCGGTGAGTGTCAAGCTTATAGAATCTTCCAAGCAGAAAGTGAAAGCACTGCCTATGCATTTATTTCCTTACCTTCATTTGGTCATTATTTATTTCTATTTTTTTGTATTGTATTTACTACAAAAAAAACCATCACAGTTAAGTATATTAAATTAACTATTAAAATTATAAAAAACATGAATGACAATCTTGAGTGGAAGAATTCATCTTTGGTATTTTTTTTCATTTGCATTAATGACTGACTACAATATTTTTACACCATTCTCCATCTCTGATCTACAACAGCCAAAACTCCTAAACCATCCTTTTTCTTTGAAAAGACAATTGTTCCTATGAAACAAACAAATGAAAGTATGTGAACTCAATAATCCATCAACTTGTCACCAATCCTTTGCAGCTCCTCTCTCATCTCCCTCTGTAGAGCCAAAGGCTCCATGCAAGGCTCTGCTTAGCAGCGCCAACAGGTCAACAGCCCCCCCAGGTCCCCTGGACAGGAAGAACTCTAGAGCGCAAGTGGAGGCGCGAGGAAGCCGCACGCCCGACATCCTGCATCCTGGAAAGTGAATTCAAGGAGATGTTAATAGGACATTAAAGTTCATCTCACATCTTCTTCTGAAAAAAGTTTATTACACCCATACAGAGCCTGGTAAAGAGGTCACCTGATTTATATTAGAGCTGTAGTTTGAAGTGATAAGGAAATACAGACTAGAGAAGCAGGTCAGGCCCCTATGCCATCATGATCATACCCTATGATACACATCTTATTCCAGGTATTCTCAATCAGAGGTTTAAACAATAGATTCCATATGGAATTACAGAAATATGCACAGTTATGAAAGATGGAAGTGAGTTTCCAAGACCTGAAAGATAAAGGGAGCAGATTTCATACAAAGACATTATTGATGATTTTGCATCAAGGCCAGAAACGTCAGGTTTTAGATTTAGTTTGTGTTTTCTGTTCTTAGTGCAATAGTGAAACAGTTCGATTGTATTTAGTGTGATTCCACATTTGTGTGATGAAGAATTTGTGCTATTTACAATATTTATTCTATATTTTATTTGTATATTGTTCTTTTTGAATTGTATATTTTGTGCAAATGTGTGTTTCCTGTTATAATTGCAAGAGCAACTGGATTCTGTTTCAATCTGTCTCACTTATGTTAAAATAAAAAAACAAAGGGGGTCTCGCCCTGGGCGCCATTCAATGCAGAACCGCCCCTGGTTCTGCAGTTTCGTAAGAGTCGCACGCTAGACTGTTTATTTTTAACATTGAATCAAAAAAGGAAGGAAATCTGGTGGTTGCAAGTACAATACAACCAGACGCAAGTCCCGGTTTCTGATAATCAAAAACGTTTATCATAGTGCTCATTTAGGGAGTCACTGACTTCAGTGCAAGGTCAAAGGGAAAAGCAGAAAGTGCCAACCAGTCAGACACAGGTCTGATAAGGATGATATTTAGAGACTCACCAGGCATCATACAACACTCAACACGCTTTGATAGTTAGGTTTACTGTGGCAAGCCCATGGGTGTGGGTTTCCACGTCACTGTTCAAGAACACACAGCGGCCACTGGATTCAGATGAACACAGTTTATTTAAAATACATTGATCGTGTGGGAGGATGAACTCAACGCCACCATGCCCAAGCCGTTCTCGTCGTCTTCTGTTATCAGGTCATCCACAAGCAGGTCCTCTTCCAAAGCAGTTTGGTACATGAGGGTCAGCCAGTCCAGTTAATCTTATACTCTTCTCTACTATTTCTCACTTAATCTTGTCTGTTCTTTCATCTCCTTTCTTCCCGTTGGGTTGTTTGCCCCTTGTTTCCCCTTCTTATGCTCCCCTTAATTACTAAACTGCTCTGACCCTCTCCTCGTTAAGCAGGAAGTCAATACAAGGCTCGGGAGGGTGGAACCATCTGGCCGCAAGATACCTCCCCTCCAACACCAACCCCCTCACCTCTACCTGTAATCTACCACATTACATTAATGTGACGAGACCACACTTTGTATGTGATAGGATCTTGTGTTGTTGGCGAGAGGACCTCCTCAACGGCAGTTTAGCGCCAATAGAAATCTTTCCTTTTATATCTAACAAAATATTTAGGAGTGGCCCTGATGTCTCGTCCCTGCCGGATTGTTAGTCTTGTTTTGTAGGTGAGCCCGCCAGCTGTGATCAGTGACTGAATCTACGTGAGGCTGTTATCGGTGGATTGTGTTTCCTATGTATTCACCCGGGCACCTAGCCACGCTTTTTCTCACCCCCTGGATCCTAAGAACCTGCACCTCACCTGGGATTCCGGACCGCCCCCGCATGTTCCTTGTTCCCGTTATTTCCCCCCTAGAAAATAAACCCTCTGTTATTCACTTCGCTCGATCTACATTTGGGTCTGTTCCAGTGGGAATACCTGACACTCGTCCTGTTAAAGAGCTCTGGGAACAACTCCTGCCACCATAGCACCTGCAGATATTAGACAAGACTCACAGGGTAATAACTTAGATAACTGCTGCCCTCACATCAACTACTTGGCCTTGACCTTCATTTTTTTAATGTATGTGGTATGGATAACATTTGATATTTAGTGTGAGAACTGTTTTGCAAAACTTGATCAATCGGCGGTCGGGATACCTGTTTTTCCAGTAATAGGCAATTGAGGGAGGAGTCATTCACAGACTAAACGCTAAACTCTGAGTAGCAAACTGAATATTTCTCCACACCTTGAGTAGTAAGGAGTATCATCAGTCATCATGGAAAAACACATCCTTTCTTGTATGTTTCTATATGGAATTTTACATGCATCCTCTCCACAAGGTAACCGTTTAAATTATGTTTTATCGCCTTGATTGTTTTACAGTCTGATATGAATCACTGCGTTAAATCCTTTACTTTTACTTGTGTTACACTTTATTCTCACAAATACCCTTGGGAATTGTGTATTGCTATTATTATTATTACGTGTCAACATAACTATTATCAGTGGCGGCTGATGGATCTTTTTTTGGTTGGGCCAGAAAATCAGCTTAAGTAAACATCCCAGTAAGATTCAGTACAAATAAGGGTATCAAACACGCAATATTACTTTGCAGTTAAATATTTGACATTTACTCAAACAGTTTAACATAACAAGGACTTCTTATTCAAACAGAATATAATATTAATATTAAATATGAAAGATTACGTATATTACAATATAAATATAATTATAAAATATATTTATATACCTATAGTTATAACATTATATATATTGAGATGCACCTATGAACCTCACTGAACCATCAGTGTGTTGAGAAAAGACCAAATCAAAAGCCACACAAAACACACAATGAAAAGACACACAATGAATTATTTTGAGTAAATGTCCCTATTTTCATTCACTTCATGGTTGTGTCCCAACCCAACCACAACAACATCTGCACCAAACGCAACTGCTGACCCTAAAACTTTTGCCCCAGCCACAACTACTGTTGCCCAAACATCAACAGCTGCCCCAACCACAATAATGACTATGACTACTACAACAACAGCCCCAACAACAGCTGCACCAAGGACCACAGCCCTGACAAGTGCAGCACCCACAACTGCATCTCACACTACAGCGGCTCTCACTACTGCGACTCCCACTACTGTGTCTCCCACAACTGAGGCTCCCATTACCGCAGCTCCAACAACTGTTCCCCCTACAACAGCTGCACCAACTACATCTGCAGCCCCAACTACAACTGCTGCACCGACAACAACTGCGGAGCAAACTATAACTGCAGCCCCAACTACAACTGCGGCCCCATCAACAAATGCTGGACCAACTACAACTGCAACCCCGACAACAACTAATTCCCCAACGACAACACAAGCCCCGACAACAACTGCTGCACCAACTACAACTGCTGCCCCAAACACAACTGCAGTCCCAACTACAACTGCTGAACCAACTACAACTGATGTTCCAACAACAACTAATTCCCCGACGACAACAGCAGCCAAAACAACAACGGCAGCCCGAACAACAACTGCAGCCCCAACAACAACTGCTGTTCCAACAACAACAAATTTCCCGACGACAACAGCAAACCCAACAACTGCAGCCCCAACAACAACTGCTGCACCAACAACTGCTACAACAACTACAACTGCAGCCCCATCAACAAATGCAGTTTCAACTGTTTCCCCGACGACAACAGCAAACCCAACAACTGCAGCCCCAACAACAACTGCTGCATCAATTCCAACTTCAGCCCCAACCACAACGGCAGCCCCAACAACAACTGCTGCACCAACAACTGCTGTTCCAACAACAACTAATTTCCCGACGACAAGAGCAAACCCAACAACTGCAGCCCCAACAACAACTACCGCACAAACTACAACTGCTGTTCCAACAACAACTAATTCCCCGACGACTGCTGCAGCCCCAACTACAACTGCTGCACCAACTACAACTGCAGCCCCAACAACAACTGCAGCCCAAACAACTGCTGCACAAACTACAACTGCAGCACCAACAACAACTGCTGCTCCAACTACAACAGCAGCCCCAACAACTCCTGCACCGACCACAACTGCTGCAGTGATAACAACTGCAGCCCCAACAACAACTGCTGTTCCAACAATAACTAATTCCCTGACAGCCGTAACAACAGATGCAGGAACAATTACAACTGCAGCACCAACAACAACAGCAGCCCCAACAACATTCACTTCCCCGACGACAAGATCAGCCCCTACAACAACTGCTGCACCAACTACAGCTGCAGCCCCGAGAACAACTGCTGCACCAACTACAACTGCAGCCCTGACAACAACTCCTGCATCAACAACAACTGCAGCCCCGACAACAACTGCTGCATCAACTACAAGAGCAGCCCCTACAACAACTCCTGCACCAACAACAACTGCTGCGCTGACAACAACAGCAGCCCTAACAACAGATGCAGGAACAACTACAACTGCTGCAACAACCACAACTGCAGCCCCAACTACAACTGCTGCATCAACTACATCTGCAACCCCACCAACAACAGCAGCTCCTACACCGACTGCTTCCCCGACGACAACAGCAGCCCTAACAACAACTGCTGTTCCAACAACAACTAATTCCCCGACGACAACAGCAGCTTTATCAACAACTGCAGCACCAACAACAACAGCTGCACCAACTACATCTGCAGCCCCAACTACAACTGTATCCCCAACTACAACTGCTGCACGGACAACAACTATAGCCCAAACAACAGATGCAGGAACAACTACAACTGCTGCAACAACCACAACTGCAGCCCCAACTACAACTGCTGCATCAACTACATCTGCAACCCCACCAACAACAGCAGCCCCTACACCGACTGCTTCCCCGACGACAACAGCAGCCCTAACAACAACTGCTGTTCCAACAACAACTAATTCCCCGACGACAACAGCAGCTTTATCAACAACTGCAGCACCAACAACAACAGCTGCACCAACTACATCTGCAGCCCCAACTACAACTGCAGCCCCAACTACAACTGCTGCACCGACGACAACAGCAGCCAAAACAACAACGGCAGCCCCAACAACTGCTTCCCCGACGACAACTGCAGCCCCGACAAAAACTGCTGCGCCAACTACAACTGCTGCCCCAACCACAACTGCAGCCCCAACAACAACTGCTGCAGTTGTAGTTGGGGCTGCACCAACAACTGTTGGACCAATTCTAACTTCAGCCCCAACCACAACGGCAGCCCCAACAACAACTGCTGCACGAACAACAACTGCTGTTCCAACTACAACTAATTTCCCGACGACAACAGCAAACCCAACAACTGCAGCCCCAACAACAACTACCGCACAAACTACAACTGCTGTTCCAACAACAACTAATTCCTCGACGACTGCTGCAGCCCCAACTACAACTGCTGCACCAACTACAACTGCAGCCCCAACAACTGCAGCACCAACAACAACTGCTGCACCAACTACAACTGCAGCACCGACAACAACTGCTGCACCAACAACAACGGCAGCCCCAACTGCTTCCCCGACGACAACCGCAGCCCCGACAAAAACTGCTGCACCAACTACAACTGCAGCCCCAACTACATCTGCAGCCCCAACTACAACTGCAGCTCCAACAACAACTGCTGCACCAACAACTGCTACAACAACTACAACTGCAGCCCCATCAACAAATGCAGTTTCAACTGTTTCCCCGACGACAACAGCAAACCCAACAACTGCTGCACCAACAACTGCTGCATCAATTCCAACTTCAGCCCCAACAACAACGGCAGCCCCAACAACAACTGCTGTTCCAACAACAACTAATTTCCCGACAACAACAGCAAACCCAACAACTGCAGCCCCAACAACAACTACCGCACAAACTACAACTGCTGTTCCAACAACAACTAATTCCCCGACGACTGCTGCAGCCCCAACTACAACTGCTGCACCAACTACAACTGCAGCCCCAACAACTGCCGCACCAACAACTGCTGCACCAACTACAACTGCAGCCCCGACAACAACTGCTGCACCCACTACAAGAGCAGCCCCAACAACAACGGCAGCCCCAACAACAACTGCTTCCCCGACGACAACCGCAGCCCCGACAAAAACTGCTGCACCAACTACAACTGCAGCCCCAACTACAACAGCAGCCCCAACTACAACTGCAGCCCCAACAACAACTGCTGCACCAACAACTGCTACAACAACTACAACTGCAGCCCCATCAACAACTGCAGCCCAAACAACTGCTGCACAAACTACAACTGCAGCACCAACAACAACTGCTGCTCCAACTACAACAGCAGCCCCAACAACTCCTGCACCGACCACAACTGCTGCAGTGATAACAACTGCAGCCCCAACAACAACTACCGCACAAACTACAACTGCTGTTCCAACAACAACTAATTCCTCGACGACTGCTGCAGCCCCAACTACAACTGCTGCACCAACTACAACTGCAGCCCCAACAACTGCAGCACCAACAACAACTGCTGCACCAACTACAACTGCAGCACCGACAACAACTGCTGCACCAACAACAACGGCAGCCCCAACTGCTTCCCCGACGACAACCGCAGCCCCGACAAAAACTGCTGCACCAACTACAACTGCAGCCCCAACTACATCTGCAGCCCCAACTACAACTGCAGCTCCAACAACAACTGCTGCACCAACAACTGCTACAACAACTACAACTGCAGCCCCATCAACAAATGCAGTTTCAACTGTTTCCCCGACGACAACAGCAAACCCAACAACTGCTGCACCAACAACTGCTGCATCAATTCCAACTTCAGCCCCAACAACAACGGCAGCCCCAACAACAACTGCTGTTCCAACAACAACTAATTTCCCGACAACAACAGCAAACCCAACAACTGCAGCCCCAACAACAACTACCGCACAAACTACAACTGCTGTTCCAACAACAACTAATTCCCCGACGACTGCTGCAGCCCCAACTACAACTGCTGCACCAACTACAACTGCAGCCCCAACAACTGCCGCACCAACAACTGCTGCACCAACTACAACTGCAGCCCCGACAACAACTGCTGCACCCACTACAAGAGCAGCCCCAACAACAACGGCAGCCCCAACAACAACTGCTTCCCCGACGACAACCGCAGCCCCGACAAAAACTGCTGCACCAACTACAACTGCAGCCCCAACTACAACAGCAGCCCCAACTACAACTGCAGCCCCAACAACAACTGCTGCACCAACAACTGCTACAACAACTACAACTGCAGCCCCATCAACAAATGCAGTTTCAACTGTTTCCCCGACGACAACAGCAAACCCAACAACTGCTGCACCAACAACTGCTGCATCAATTCCAACTTCAGCCCCAACAACAACGGCAGCCCCAACAACAACTGCTGCAACAACAACAGCTGTTCCAACAACAACTAATTTCCCGACGACAACAGCAAACCCAACAACTGCAGCCCCAACAACAACTACCGCACAAACTACAACTGCTGTTCCAACAACAACTAATTCCCCGACGACTGCTGCAGCCCCAACTACAACTGCTGCACCAACTACAACTGCAGCACCAACAACAACTGCTGCTCCAACTACAACACAAGCCCCGACAACAACTGCTGCACCAACTACAACTGCTGCCCCAACCTCAACTGCTGCACCAACTACAAGAGCAGCCCCAACAACAACTCCTGCACCAACAACTGCTGCGCTGACAACAACAGCAGCCCTAACAACAGATGCAGGAACAACTACAACTGCTGCAACAACCACAACTGCAGCCCCAACTACAACTGCTGCACCAACTACATCTGCAACCCCACCAACAACAGCAGCTCCAACACCAACTGCTTCCCCCACGACAACAGCAGCCCTAACAACAACTGCTGTTCCAACAACAACTAATTCCCCGACGACAACAGCAGCTTTATCAACAACTGCAGCACCAACAACAACTGCTGTACCAACTACAACTGCAGCTCCAACATCTAGTTCCCCTACGACAACAGCAGCCCCAACAACAACTGCTGCACGAACTACAACCGCAGCCACAACAACAACAAATGAAGGCTAGTGACACTGATATTCATATTGTCAATAATAAATCATTGAGCTGAAACCGTCAAAGAAATTGATTGAATCCCTATTGACCCCAAGCATAGCTGTACCCCATTAATAGGGTACTGGGTTAAATTGAAATTAAAGATTTTTTAAACATAACGAGTTAATTCAGAATGTTTTATGGATAATGTGGTCAACACAGAAACTAATATGCTTAGTCATATTAGTCCTCAATGCCTATACCTAATCATCAGATTTCTTTTACATTTCAAAGTTCCCTATCATCCAAACTATAATACCACAGTATACCAATGCATAAATAATACACCAAGGTCACTGACTATGTAATCTACCCCTAGAATTGTGTTAAATTCAGATTTTAGTTTTCATAAGCCTATATTGTAAAATATTTTGCATCTGTATCTAATTTCAGTTTATAAAGGTTTTTCAGGGTTGACAGAATAGCATTATAGAAAAATGAATCGCCACATACAATGTTCTTTAATACCTACAGGCTTTGTATTAACGCACCTACAGATGAGGATAACTTCCTTTGGAGAGGTTAGCAATGGGACCATCATTGAACGTGTAAAAGAGGTGCGTAAAACAGAAAAAAAGTAAAAAAAGTGGTAAATTAATCGGTTTGAAAATGCGCTTTACCTAATATCATCGATCTAATCTTCTGTGTTTCTCTGAATTTAGTTTTTTGAAAAGCAGCTCCTGAATGGAACATTTCATACAATCAACGTGGCAAACATTCAAAGGGTGGATCCTAATTGAAGACAGCAGTTCAAGGTTATGCTGGCAGAATTGTTTCAACACCATGTGAAGTGGTAGTTAACCTTATTCACTTCTTCATATCTGGAAAGACTCCTTTGGCAATTTAGCATAATGTATCAAATGTTATTGCACTAGAAATTACCAGAACTATCTCAATTTCCCTCTGATTTTTTAATTAAAATGTGTCAGGGATGCGTTGGAAGGCAGGACTCAAACGCAGAGTTTAAACTAACGAGACTAAACAAACAAAAGCACCAGGCCAAAACACACTCACACTCACACTCACACTCACACTCACACTCACACTCACACTCACACTCACACTCACACTCACACTCACACTCACACTCACACACGGGAGAAACGGCAGGCGGGAACAACGAACATCCAGGACGAAAGACATGACGCGACAAGTGACAGAGACACACACAGCTTAAATACACTAGGGAGGTGCAGGTGATTGGACACAGGTGGAAACAATCATGACATGACAGACAATCACAGAGGAGGACAGGACAAGGCAGGAAGTGACATGACCCAGGGAGAACAGAGGCAAGAAACTACAAAATAAAACCAGACATTAACCCAAACCATGACAAAATGTTTTCACTCTACAATCCGTGAACAATATTCCAAAGAATTGGAGGTGTTTGTTGACTGTGCATAGAAGAATGGGAAGCTCAGACCAAGGAATATAATCTTCCAAAGAAGTTAAATAAATAGGTATCAATAATTCCCATGATCTTTAACTGGAGGAGAAGCTACCAGAAAACACTACACCCATCATCATGAATGAGGAAATATCTTACATAAACACTGGCAACAATAAACTAGATGAGTGTCAAGCTTATAGAATGCATCTTCTAAGCAGAAAGTGAAAGTACTGCTCGTTTGTTGTTTGCTATCGAAATTATGCCAGAATTGTTCAATGCGGAGAAGGCACCTTAGTTTCTGAGGTATTCTGTGTGCCAATTAACTTTTAAAAGTTGTTATTACATGAGTTGGGGGCATGAATTAACATTGAAGTTACACCAATATATATCGGCCATTTATTATTCCCTCGCTGTAATTGTTGAGCATCAACCCCAAAAATAAATATGCATTTATTTTCTTATATTTGTTTGGTCTTTAATTTCACTTAAATCAAAAGTCAATTGTATTTTTTAAAACTGGTGCCTCAAAACCAAACCTTTAACCTTGTCCACTGAAAAAAAAATCAATAGACAAATATCAGCAGAAATACACAGGTAATAAAATTGTATAAGATGTCAAAATGACTTGCTGCTATCTTTATCACAGTTAAGTATATTAAATTAACTATTAAAATATTAAAAACATGGATGACAATCTTGAGTTGAAGAATTCATCCTTCATCTGCCTCAATATGTCACACTTCCATCTTTGATCTGCAACAGCCAAAACTCCTAAACCATCCTTTTTCCTTTAAAAAGATTGCTCATATGAAACAAACAAATACATTACATTACATTTACAGGTCATTTTAGCAGACGCTTTTATCCAAAGCACTTACATTACACTTTAAACCCATGGCTTTTTCACATTTTTGCCCGGGGAGCAATTAGGGGTTAGGTGTCTTGCTTCAGGGACACTTCGACATGGAACATGGGACAGAACATGGGG